GGCCAGGGTCCTTGGACATATGAGGCAATGGTGAGCATTGGAGGCCTTGGATGTCATTGCTGGGGAATGACAGGCTGGACCCTCCGAGACACCCCTGGCTGGCCTCGCCTTTCAGAGTTTCAGCCAAGCCTGGAATCACTCCAGGGACAAAGGAGACACATCTGCCAAGTCTGCCCAACTCTCCTTGGCCACGGGAGCCCAGGACCAGCCATAAATGGACAGGAGCCAGGGGCCCTGTGGGAATGGGGCTGTGGTGGGCGCCTGGGGACACGCGTGGGTCAGCAGAGGCGCTTGAAGTCCTGGGCCGGCAGGTTCCTCAAAAGCAAAACCACTTGAATACCATTGTGCAGGACGCTGGGGCCCTGCGGCCAGCCCCCCACAGCACGAGAGGCTCCTGCAACAGAAACCGCTGGCTGGCAAGGTCACCTGTGGCTGGAGGTGCCAAAGACGGCTGAGGGCAAGCGCCAAAGGGCTGAGGACGAGGGAATGACGCTGGGGACCTTGCCCTAAGCTCAGGCCACTCCATCTGAGCTCTAATCCCCTCTTTTGCTTTCGGCTTCTGCTTCTCCCCCAGTGGAGGGAGACTGGGAGGTTCTGCTGTTGCCCTAGGAGCTGCCAACAGCAGTGGAAGGCAGGGCCTTGGCAGGCAGCCTCGCCTCTGTGGGAGCAGGCGGGGCCGATTACTCTGAGCTGCCAGGCACTGCGGGGACTTCCCAGCCCGCTGGCCTTGCCTCCTGTGTGGTGGACTCTGTGGGAGGGGACCGAGGGGTGGAGCAGTAGGAGGAGACCCAGCCAGGCCCTGAAGAGGAGCCAGGAGCTAAGAACTTGACCTGGAATCTCAGGGTGAGGGGCAAGTCCAGCCCCCTCCAGGATCCAGGGTCTCACCAAGGGGAAGGAGGGGCCCGAGGCTCACTCACCCAGCTGGGTTCCAGTGGAGCCAGGAAGAGACGGGGTGCACTGGGGAGGCCCTGGAGAAGGGGCCTGGTGGAGCATGTCCTATGTCTGTCTTTCCTTTTTCCTACAAATCTTAGGGACTTTCCTGGGGTCAAGGTGCTATGTACAGTGTGCAGGTGTGGGCTGAGGCATGGGGGTCGGGCTGTGTCCACATGAACAATGAGTCACCTTTTTCCAAATCACATCAGGGCCCTGTGCGGGTCAGTACCTGGTGTCGCCAGGCCAGCCTCAGGGGACAGCTCATCAGAAACCAGCCCTTCGCACTGGGGAGGCTTTGGGCCTGGGGTGCCCTTCCTCAGAGGAGGGGTCACATCTGACCTAGGCACCAGCACATCAGGCTCCTGGGATGAAGGCTCAGCCTGGAGGGGACTGGCAGGTCTGCAGGGTGCCCTGGGCTGGTGACTGGGAAAGGCCAGGCCTCCTTTCCCTCCCAGGCTGTCTGCTTCCACACGATTCACTGCCTGCAGACTCACTTCTGTCACTGAGGCAGGGTCACCTCAGGAACCAATCACATTTCATTCTGAGTGGAATGAGGCTGCGGAAGTCAAGGCCATAAGTCAGTGTGACACCTGCTTTTGACCTGAAAAAATATAGACCATGAGGGAAAATTAGCCATCAAATAAGTATGTTGGGGCAGGACCAACTATTGAATTTCATACCTGCCCTACCATAATTCACAATGGTTTTAGATTTCCAGAAAGGAACCTCAAAGCCCTTTTCATGACCGGGCATGGTGGTGCGTGCCTGTAATCCCAGCATATTGGGAGGGTTTGAGACCAGCCTGGCCAACAGGGTGAAACGCTCTCTACTAAAAATACAAAAATTAGTTGGGCATGGTGGTATGCACCTGTAATCCCAGCTACTCAGGAGGCTGAGGCAGGAGAATCACCTGGACCTGGGAGGCAGACGTTGCAGTGAGCTGAGATCGGCCACTGCACTCCAGCCTGGGGGACACAGCAAGACTCCATCTCAAAAAAAAAAAAAAAAAAAAAAAAAATTCTCTGTCAGGGTGACAGGAAGGATTCCTGGAAATATGAAGGAGCTGAGGATGGTTTTGAAGATAAATCCAAATTTGTAGTCTGGGGAGGCCCACCTGGCACAGAGGTACAGAGGACGGAACAGAGACTGATCTGGGAACCAGAGGAAGTGGGTGCCTGGGACGGGGTACAGCAGGCACCCAAGGTGAGAGGCCTGAGTCTGTGCCAAGGAGCAGACCCAGGGCCTCTACCTGGGTGGTAGGGGCAGCCGGCCAGCACAAAGGGCAAACACCAGCCTTCTGTGGCACCTCCTCCTCCCCACTGCCTCTGTGGCTGCCTCTGCGGCTTCCTCAGGGTTTTCCCACGCTGTCAACCTGGCCAGAGTCCCAAAGAGCAAAGTTCTGCTGAGGTTTTGGGGAGGGGAGCGGGATCTGAGAGGGGCCCCTGGAAGGAGGCTGCTGCTCCTCAGGCCTAGAGGCTTGTTCTTCTGCAGAGATCACCCAGATACTGAGAAGTGCAGCTGCTGCGGAATTTCTGGCTGGGAACACAGAAATGCGGGCGGGGAAGGAGCGGTGTAGGGAAGAGGAAGTAAGCTCTGTGCAAGAGCTGCTGCTAGTCTGGGCTGGTCGGCCTGTGCAGGGCGATGGTTCTCAAACTTAGGCTATGACCCAGGCGATGCTGTGATACAGGTGCCAGGTGGGCTGCTCCACAGCCACTGGGAAGGCTGGGAGCTGGTGGCCTACTGTGGGGCATAGCAGCTCCAGAGACCCCAGATCTGTTCCTCTGGTGAGTATCAGGCCTCCTCCTCCCCCACCACAAAACCTCAAAAGGGGTCTTCCCCTGTATTCCACCTGCTCTCCCTATGCACCCACAGCTGAAGCAAAGGCAGTGATGGAGGCTTGAGAGCCCTCTCCCCAAGTCAGCAATCATAGTCTTTCCACCAGGAAAATAGCCTAAACAGAGCAGACACAAGGATAACTACGGGTCGGTCTGGGTCTCCAAGGCTGATAAGCGTTTTACCTGCACCTAAGTCCTTGGCCTCTTAGCATTTACAGCTTACGGTGATGGAGTCAGTGGACAAGAATGAATATTCCAGAAGAAACCCTTGAAACCAGCCAGGCAACAGAGAGAGCTTACAGCTGCTAAGAACTTGGTGGCAGTAAGGCACACATTCTTTGCCCATCCCACAGTTTGTTTGTTTTTTTTTTTTTTGAGATGGAGTCTCGCTCTGCTGCCCAGTGTGGAGTGCAATGGTGTGATCTCGGCTCACCACAACCTGTGCCTCCTGGGTTCAAGCGATTTTCCTGCCTCAGCCTCCCGAGTAGCTGGGTCTACAGGCACATGCCACCACGCCCAGCTAATTATTTTTTGTATTTTTTAGTAGAGATGGGGTTTCACCATGTTGGCCAGGATGGCCTCGCTCTCTTGACCTCGCGATCTGCCCGCCTTGGCCTCCCAAAGTACTGGGATTACAGGCATGAGCCACCACGCCCGGCAAATCCCACAACTATGAATATGGGGTTGCCGATTCCGAGGAAGGGGTGTGCACCTGATTGCTGAGGAAGGGCAGCATGAAGTGCAGGACCCAGGCAGGAGCTCTGGCAGGTCAAGGACATTGCCCTCAACCAACCATGCTCTCCAGGGTCAGAGGCCAACCCAGCAGAGGCGCGTGGTGCTTGTTATTGGGTAGACAGGCTTATCCCACAAGCTTGCAGTGCTCAATTAAGGGTCTTAGTCACCCGCAGCCTTCTGTCTCCTAGATCCTGAAATGCAGCCCGGGGATGAGGTGGAGGTGCCCATCTGTGGGGCCGTCCCAAGGCCCTCGCTGAGGGGCTGGGAACAATGAGGACTGTGTTAGGACTTGCAGAACTGCACCAGTGCTGTAGCTCAGTATCCTCTGTGGGAGGCAGAGGTTTTCCCCTGATAATCGTCTCCCCGGCCCAGCCCAATCCTAGCTCTGCTCTGGCTTGTGGACTTGCATCCCACAAAAGTCACCATGTGACAAGGTTAGAAGGGGCTGCCCTGCCTTCTAACAAGGTTAGAAGGTGGGAGACAGGTCCACGGGCCCAGCCCCAGAGCCCTAAACCCCTACCTATAAGACACATATAGCTGGCCAGGCGTGGTATCAAGCCTGTAATCCCAGTGCTTTGAGAGACTGAGGTGGGCAGATCACGAGGTCAGAAGATCAAGACCATCCTGACTAACATGGTGAAACCCTGTCTCTACTAAAACTACAAAAAATTAGCTGGGCATGACGGCAGGCGCCTGTAGTCTCAGCTAGTCAGGAGGCTGTGGCAGGAGAATCGCTTGAACTTGGGAGGCAGAGATCTCAGTGAGCCGAGATTGTGCCACTGCACTCCAGCCTGGGCAACAGAGTGATACTCCATCCCAAAAAACAAAACAAACCAAAACAAAAAACCCCAAATAACTAACCACAGTGAATAAATTCGCTGGATAATACCATCCACTAGGAGGCAAATCCTACTTTTATTTTCTTTCTTTCTTTCTTTAGAAAGAGTCTCACTCTGTCACCCAGGCTGGAGTGCAGTGGCACAATCTCGGCTCACTGCAACCCTCACCTCCCAGATTCAAGTGATTCTCCTGCCTCAGCCTCCCGAGTAGCTGGGACTACAGGTGCGAGCCACCATGCCTAGCTGTTTGTATTTTTAGTAGAGACAGGGTTTTGCCATATTGGCTAGGCTGCTCTTGAACTCCTGACCTCAGGTGATCCACCTGCCTCGGGCTCCCAAAGTGCTAAGATTACAGGTGTGAGCCACTGCACCTGGCCCAATTACTACTTTTAAATCATAAAGCATTGTTACTTTGATTTGCTTATTAGGCCATAAGCTTCATTTGGTCTATGTCCTTTCTGAGGCCTCAAGGGGCCTCAAGGAAGCTCTGAAACTTGGAGTTTGGATTTGGGTGAGAATGTGGGTGAGCTGTGCTGGATTTCACAAAGCAAGTACTGTGTGTGACACAGGAGCCCTGTGTGACAGGCAAGATGCCATGGTCGGTGAATTGCACACAGACCTGGTTTCAGTCACCACCTGCCATCGTCGTGACCTTGGTGACCAGCATCTCTGAGCCTCAGAATCCCATCTGTTGGGCAAGAAAACATTCGCCTCATAGGATTGCTACTGACAGTCAAGGAGGTAGTATTGAAGCACCTCCGAGGGCCTGGCACCTGGGAGTGGGTCCGCGTGTGCCCCTCCCACTTCTTCATTAGGAGCAGGAGCTGCTGGAATTCCATTCCTCTCCTGAGTAGTCACGGCCTGACCTGACCTCGGGAGGCAGCAGCAACAAGACGGGAAGGGAGGAAAGAGCAAGCGATGTTCTCACCAGACCCCCAGCCCAGCAACACAAGCGCTGCGTGTAAGGTTAGCTGAGAAAAAGGGGAGTAGACCCTAAGTCAGGCAAGCAGGTTTTATTAACCTGCTGGGCTGCCCCGTAACAGTCATAGGAGGCAGCCCCAAGCTTATGGAATGAGGGGTGTATGTGCAGTGAGGCGGCATAAGGGAGTTTCAGGACTGAGATAGTCTGTCAGCTTGTAACAGGCAGAGATAGTTTGTATCTTGCAACAGATTTACAATACATCATCCTGTGACTTTTGTGGCGGCAGTTTTGAAAAAACAGGATTTTACAGGTATGTGTAAAACAGGAATTTACAAGTATGGATAACAAGCACTAGTTTTCCCTGTCCTCCCCCAACTGCCCAGGTGGCTGTAATCAGGCTTTGCTTCATTGTAGCACCTAGAGAGGAGTCAGGAGTGCAGCTGCGGAGCAATCAGAGGCAGGGATCAGCTGGCGCAGAGGGGGTTTCTGAGGCAGATTATCCCTAACATTCCAGCCTCTTAATAGGTAATAGAAGGGCCGGTCTCAGTGGCTTACACCTGTAATCCCAACACTTTGGGAGGCAGAGCCAGGTGGATCACAAGGTCAGCAGATCAAGACCATCCTGGCCAATGTGGTGAAACCTCATCTCTACTAAAATACAGAAAATTAGCCGGGCGTGGTGGCGCATGCCTGTAATCCATCTACTTGGGAGGCTGAGGCAGGGGAATCACTTGAGCCCGGGAGGCGAAGGTTGCAGTGAGCCGAGATCGCACCACTGCACTCCAGCCTGGCAACAGAGCAAGACTCCATCTCAAAAAAAAAAAAAAAAAGGGTAATAGAAGAGGGGCACCATTGTCATCTGGCTGCTTCTTGCTGGACAGGGACGACATTTTTAGAGGGGAGGCTAGACAGTAGGGACTGTCGTTCCTGGAACTGTCAGTGTTCTTGGAGCAGCAGCATGTCTTGTATCGTTCCATGGGTGAAAGCTTTAATGCGGTCCTGTAAAAACTGGGTGAGGAGTCGTAGGAGGCAAGGGCCAAATGCTAGAAGGAGGAAAGGGGTTATGGCAGGACCTAGGAGGGCAGCAGCCAGGGTGGCCAGGAGTTACGGAACCACTGGGGCCAGGAGAACTGATTGTCTTTATGTTTTTGTGTTTGGTCTTTGAGCTTTTTGACAGCATTTAGTACTAACCCAGACTCCTCAAGGTAGAAACAGCATTGTCCATCTAGAGAGAGAAACAGACCTCCTTTTTCAGTAGTGAGGAGATTTAGGCCTTTGCAGTTTTGTAGGTGACTGCTGCTGAAGAGTCTAGTTGGTTTTGGAGGTAAGTGACTGGGAATATGATAATGAGGTTCCTAGGCATCCTGCTTTTAACCTGACACTAGTTGTGACTTTAGGGGTTACTAATAAGGGAATGAAGGATATCGCTCTTTGAGCGAGCGTGTAACGTAGCAGGGGCAGGGAATGCTTTTTTTTTTTCTGAGACAGAGTCTCACTCCATCACCAGGCGCCAGGCTGGAGTGCAGTGGCGTGACCTTGGCTCACTGCAACCTCCACCTCCTGGATTCAAGCAATTCTTCTGCCTCAGCCTCCTGAGTAGCTGGGACTACAGGTGGGCGCCACCACGCCCAGCTAATTTTTTGTATTTTTAGTAGAGACGGGGTTTCACTATGTCGGCCAGGATAATCTCGATCTCTTGACCTCGTGAACCGCCCGCCTCAGCCTCCCAAAGTGCTGGGATTACAGGCGTGAGCCACCGCACCCGACTGGGGCAGGGAATTGTTGGTTTGGAGGGACAGGGTTCATGTTGGGGTAAGGTAGACCAGGGTGCAGGTACCTGTCCCGTTGGTAGGGAGACAGAGGTATGTTGTGGATCCGCAGAGGAAGAAGATGCCTGCGGTGTTAATGCAAACAGACAAGTGGATTGAAAATAGGTGCTGGCATGTGTAGATTCCTCATTTGGGGGGACTCGGTTCAGCTTCAGCAGCCCAGAGTGAGGAGGAGGGAGCGACTCCTTTGAAAATTCCTGTCTGGAGAAGGGGTTCCATGTTTGAGGCAGGAGGGGAGGTAAAGCGGAGGGGCTGGGTAAAGAAGCCGTTAGCTTCTGGGGAAACGGAATAAGCTACCTGGAGTGAGGTATGGGAAGAGGGATGAGAGATGGTTGAGTTGAGCCACAGGCAGGGGGAGGGACGGTGCCTACGTATATGTGTCCATTGGAAGAGATGACACATAAGAATGGGACCTTCGGGCTGGGCGCAGTGGCTCACGCCTGTAATCCCAGCACTTTGGGAGGCCATGGCGGGTGTATCACCTGAGGTCAGGAGTTCAAGACCAGCCTGACCAACATGGTGAAACCCTGTCTCTACTAGAAATACAAAAATTAGCCAGGCGTGGTGGCGCATGCCTGTAATCTCAGCTCCTTGGAGGATGAGGCGGAAGAATCTCTTGAACCTGGGAGGCAGAGGTTGCAGTGAGCCGAGATTACGCCACTACATTCCAGCCTGGATGACAGAGCAAGACTCCATGTCAAAAAAAAAAAAAAAAGAATGGGACCTTGGATAGCAGGGTGAGGGACTTTTGCATTGTCGTATTGGTGGTGTATATCTCGAGAGAAGTATGAAGCTCTGTTAGCAAGGGCAGTGCAATAGTTCCCAGTGCAGGTGAGGGCTTTGTCTACAGAGGCAGAGCCTTTGTAGACAGCGTATGAAAAGTGGATGGGAATATGGTCCCAGGGCTGAGAAACTGGGATGGCTGAGTAGGCAGTAGAGAAAAGGGAACAACAGGTCCAGCCACGGGAGGCAAGTGCAGAGCTGGGCAGTCACAAGGAGTGACTGAGATTGTTGCAGCCTTGGGGAAGTGAGGGAGCAGAGGCAGTGCGGCTGACTGGTAAGAGTCAGGAACTTGAGGAAGGATCGGAGTCTGTATTTGGGAGAAGGCATTGAGAGGGGTTACATGGCGGGGTGGCCTCTTATAGCAGTGAAGCCTTTTCAGTGGGGGAGTATTGGGGTTAGACTATGGGGGTGATGAGGAGGAGGGGGCAGGGGTAGAAGAAAGGGAGGCTTCTTTTGCTGCCTTGTTGGGCTTTCTGTTTCCTCTTGAGATCTCATCTGATCCTGTTTGGTGTCCTCAGCAGTGTATAACTCCTGCTTTAGCCGGGAGGTGTGCAGCTCAGGGGAGTTGGTAAATAAGGGGGCCATTAGTGATGGGGGTTCCTTTGGCAATAAGAAATTCTCTCTCTTGCAAGATGGTGGCGTGAGACTGGGGAATGTGATAGGCATGTTTGGAGTTGGTAAAATGTTGAGTCATTTGGAGAGGGTCAGGGCCCTGGTGAGAGCCATAAGTTTTGCCTTTGGGAAGAGGTCCCTGGGGGCAGGGGTTTAGCTTTAACTCCTCAGTTAAGGGAGCCGACTGCACACCCAGCGATTTCATGGGAGCTGACTGGCTTGGAAGAGGAGCCATCTAGACATAACTGGTTGTCAGGATTGGGGAGAGGCTCTCAGGAGCTATTAGGGAAATGAGGCTGCAGTGATTAAGGATTTCAGTACAGGAGAGGGTGGGGAGGAGGAAGATCCTGGAAGTAGAGATGCAGGACTGAGGGGAGCACTTTTGGAGAGGCAGAACTCAGGGTTTTGAAGAAGGAGGGCATGGAGTGGTTGGATTCGAGGAGGAGAGGAGATCTTGTAGATTGTGGGCTGTGGACTGTGGTGTCCTGACCGAATGTTAGTTTTTTGCTAAGGTTAGGGTGGCGGCTGCTGCGGGGGCTCTGAGGCCGGTCGGCCACCCTCGGGTGGTGTTGTCTAGTTTCTTAGAGAGATAAGCTGTGGGAGCGAAGGAAGGAGGACTTCCTTTTGGCTGGCCAAGGTCACCAAGGGCTATTCCATGGTTTTCGGCTGTGTAGGGAATGAAGGACTGAGAGATGTCAGGCAAAGATAGAGCAGGAGCGGTTATGAGGGCGGCTTTCAGTTTGTGGAAGTTAGGGATTGTGCTGTGTGAAGGATTTAGGGGCTTATTTAGAGGGCCTTTAGCTGCTTCATAGCGGGGGCAGGGTAGGAGGGCAAAATTGGGAATTCCTATTCTGAAGAAGCCTGCTGTCCTAGGAAAGAAAGGATTTCATCGTTAGAGGTGGGCGGGGCAGGCTGTCCTTCATAGCTGCCGTGCTGGGGTTATGGCTCGGCCCCCGGGGAAGAGCTGGACTCCTAAGTACATCACTGCTGTTGGAGTGGAGAGTTGTGCTTTGGAGGGGGAAAGCCTGTATCCTTTGCTAGCAAGAAAGCTTAGAAAGGTAATAGTTTGAGTCTGAGAGTCCTCTAGGGAAGGGCTACAGAGGAGGAGGTCATCCACATACTGGAGGAGCCAACTAGGAGAGCGGTCTGGGGAGGTGAGGTCTTGAGCTAGAGCTTGTCCAAAGAAATGGGGGCTGTCTCTAAAGTCTTGGGGGAGGACTGTACAAGTAAGTGGTTGTGACTGGAGGGTTTCAGGGTCAGTCCATGTGAAAGCAAAGAAATCTTGGGAGTCAGGGTGAAGAGGAATGGCTAAAAAAAAAAAAAAAAGCATCTTTTAATTCTATTACAGTGTAATGGCTTGTGTCTGGAGGGAGAGGCAAAGGAGCCTGTAGGGGTTGGGAACTACCGGATGGTTGGGAAGGACGGCCTGACTGATAGCCTGGAGATCTTGGACTAGCCAATAAGAGCTCTTAGCCTTTATGAGAGGGGGTGTAGGGGTATTGTATGGAGAGTGATTAGCCCAAGGTAGCCTTGGGAGAGAAGTCTGTTTATGATGGGTCCTAAGCCTTTTAGGTGCATTAATGAAATGGGATCCTGAGAGACATTAGGAAATTCGGAGAGGTCTTTTAGCTGGATTTTGATAGGATCATGGTGAGTTACTAGAGAAGTGGAAATGGTGTCGCACACTATTAGATTAACAAGAGAAGGCCGGGCGCAGTGGCTCATGCCTGTAATCCTAGCACTTTGGGAGGCCGAGGTGGGTAGATCACCTGAGGTCAGGAGTTCAAGACCAGCCTGGCCATGATGGTGGCCATCTTGTAAAAAACAAAAACAAAAACAACAAGAGAAGTGGGGAGTGGACATTGGGGGACGGGTGAGGGCTGGCATGGTGGCAGAGAGGAGTAAGAGAGAATCTAGTTGTGGGGAACAGAAAAAGGTGGTGGAAGCTTTAAAGCTGGTTAGGAGGCCTCTGCCTAGGATGGGGGTAGGGCAGTGAGGCACAATAAGGAAAGAGTGTGAGAAAACAAGATTAAATAAGGAGTAAGTAAGAGGTCTGGTGGCATGTGGGCGTGAGATGAGTCCGTCACCCCCACAACTGAGACCTGAGGGGATGAGTGGGTCCTGATGAGAATTCAGGCAAAGCCGAGCAGATGGCTGCAGTATTGGTTAAAAAAGAGATGGGCTTACCTGCTACAGTAGAGTTATGCTGTGCTCCGACGCAGTGCTGGCAGAGGCAGCAGCGCCCTGGGCCTTGTCAGTCTTCGGTGGCTGGGCGGAGGAGCTGCGGGAGTGCAAGCGATTCTTCACTTTGCATCTTGCTTAGGGGGTGGTGGCTCTCAGGTGCAGGCTTTTCTGTCCGTGTGTTGACAGGATAGTTAGATTTCCAGTGGCCTGTCTGCTGGCAGACTGGGCAAGGGCTCTTCGGCACTAGTGGGTTAGGACATGCCCGTGCCCAGTGGCCTTCTTTGCCGCACTTAAGGCCCGGGAGGGTCACTGCTGTTGGGTCTTTTGTGCCCTTGCTTACTATGGCTAGGCTGATGGATAGCTGCAGACAGAAGCTGGTATTTAGCATGATCTTTTTGGGCTTTATCTAATTTGCTTTGCTTATCTCTGTTGCTGAAGACTTTGAAAGCCAGGTTAAGGAGGTCTTGTTGTGAGGTTTGAGGGCCATCTTCAGCCTTTTTAAGTTTGCGCTGGATGTCGGGGCATATTGGGAGATAAAATGGGTATTAAGAACAATAGTTCCTTCTGGAGTGGCAGTGTTGACACGAGTGTATTTTAGGAGAGCCTCTGTAAGGCACAAAAGGAATTGCACAAGGTTTTCATCTGTGTTTTGGGAAATTTCTTTAAGATTCTTTAAAATTTACAATCTTATGGGCAGCTTTGTGAAGGCCTGCGATAAGGCAAGTAATCATATGGTTACAGGGCGCCCAACCGGGGTCTGCGAGTTGGTACCCCCAGGAAGGCTTCTCCTGGAGGACGGCAGCAGCGCCTTGCCGAGGAAGACTGTTGGCACGTGCCTGGGCTGGGAGCCACGCTCTTTCCTTCTCTTCCGGAAGGAGGGTAGAAGAGACGATAATGTAGAGATCATGTCACTGGGTGAGACGTTTAAATTATTTGATATAAGCGTTGGGATTGGAGGAGAAGGACCCGAGATGTTTTTCAATTTGGGTGAGATCGGAGAGGGAGAAGGGACATGGATGGATGATCCCTTTGGTCCCTGCCACTTCCCAATGGGGAAGCAAGGGAGCTGGTTGCTGGACTTGTTGGGTTTGAGAGCGGGTAAGGGGTGGGGATGGGGAGGACTCAGAGTCAGAAGTGGGGTGGCTGGGGAGAGGGGGAGAAAGGGGTAGGGCTGGAGCAGGGGCATACGGTGGAGAATTATGACGCTTTTGAGGAGGAGGAGGAAAATCAGCAGGGTCCAAGAGGAGTCGCTGCCCAGGGCTGTGGGGAGGGCGACGGGGAGAGTCAGGTTTGGAGTGAGCGAGGAGAATTTGGAAAGCAGAACAGGACTGACAGAGGGCAGGACAGCTATGGAGGCTGAAAAAAGTCTGAACATAAGGAATCTCAGACTATTTCCCATTGCGATGGCAAAAGTTGTCTAAGTTTCTAAGTATATTGTAATCAGAAGTGCCATTTTGGGGCCACTGGGAGCCATGTCTAATTTGTACTGAGGCCAAGCGGTATTACAGTAAAAGATAAGCCTCTTAGAATGGACATTTGAATGGAAGCTAAGAGCATTGAGACTATGCAGGAGACACTCAAGGGGGCTAGTTTTGGAAGGGGTAGACTGAGGGGCTCCTCTATGGACACGGGAGGGAGGGATAGGAAGAAGAGACTGCCGATTGACAAGGGCGTCCCCTGTCCCACAGGCCTTGTCCAGAATAGAGGAGGTAGCCGCCAAGTCAGGCTCCCCGAAACTGAGGAACCGGAGGCCTGGAGGCCAGAGGAAGCCCTTGGCCCAGCGCTGGTTCTTTCAAGAAGGCAGAGATGGCCAAGGGTTCCCAGTAAACAGCAAGAGTCTCTTACTCACCCCGGCCGAGACTCTGATGGTGGATGAGGTCACCAGCAATGGGCGAGTCTGGGAGATCTCCAGGTCTTCGGCAGGTTCAGGAAGGGGAGGATGGCTGGGAGAGAAGTGATAAAAGAGGGAGGGAGGGATAGAGGGAGAGAAAAAGAGAGAGAGCCCTCTAAGGGCACCAGGCCAGAGCCTACCCTGTCCTGGGTTTCAGCACCAAAATGCAAGGTTAGCTTGAGCAGAGGGGGTTTTCTAAGACAGCTTGTCCCTAACACTGTGTGGATAGGGGTGTGGAGGGCTGCAGCAGTCAGGGGACTGAGAGGGTTTTGCATCAGTCTGGTCTGTTCCCTCCCCAGCCCACCCGCAGATGGCCTGGGGGACCCAGTTAAGGGCATCGGGTGGGGCCCTGATGGTGGGGGTGCTGCATTTAGCCTTTCTCTGGCCACAAGCTCCCTGTTCAAGGTCTCATGCCGTGCCACCTTGACTGTGGGTCTCTGTGGGGTGTGGCCTGCAGAAGGCCACACGGCACCCATGCGTCCCTGCATTGGTCACCACCCAGGACTGTGGCGCACAGGAGTGTTATCCATGGGCCTTTACTTTCTGCTCCAGACAGGGCATGGGGTTTACGTTCCGTAAACAGAGAAGAATGCCAACATGAACATAAACTGTAGCATGCACAGACCATGTATACATTAAACAGAAAAAAATATCTTGGGGCCTTTGAGGGATCTGTGTGGCCTTCCCCTGGGTGGAGCTGGGACCCTGAGAGGCAAAGCCAGGGCCTGTCTCTTGCACCCGACACAACGCTGACGTGGGTGCAGCTTATTCTTTGTCCCTATGGGTGGCTGGAAAAGGGACTGTGATGGGCACAGGGCCTGCCATGCCCCCTTCAGGTCTTGGGGAGACAGAGACTGCAGGTTGCCTGGGCGGCCCCGGGAACAGATTTTCATTATTTTATGGCAACAAGCAAATTTCCTGGAGGGGATTTCTGGAAGAACCGGGAGCCACCCAGAGGGAAAGCCGTTGGAAACGGAGAGCAGGAGGCCGGGAAGAAACAGGTCTGGGCAGAGGCAGAGGTTGCTTGGCCTGAGGCTCTGAGCTGAGAGATAGCTGAGGCCTTGAACCCCTCCTCCACCCTTCCTGGTGGCAGGCGAGAAGCCTGGCCCTGAGCAGGCCCAGTCGCTGCCTCCATGCCCTCGCTGACCTGCAGGAAACTCACCCAGCCCAGGCCATGTCAGCAGCCGCACAGCAACCTAAGAAGCCAGGCTGCAGAGCAAGATGGAAAATTCCCAATGCTCCTGCACCTAAGGCTGCACCGGGTGGGGACATTGTGCTCCTCTGGCCCTGACTGCATGGGGGAGGCTGCCCTTGCTCTGGGCTGCTGGCTCAGTCAGGGGCTGGGGCAAGAGCAAACCAAACAGCTTCAGGGGGAGGGGAACGGAGCCCCAGCCCTGACCCTTCCACTTTGTTCCTGCATGGCTGGACCCGGCGTAACTGGGGGTGTGTGTGTGTGTGTGTGTGTGTGTTGGGCAGGGATGGGGTGGAAGGCAACCTATTTTCTGCAGAGAAAGAACATCCAACAGCCCTCCAACACAGGCTGAGAGTCTGAAAAAGTCAGGCCATGTTGGCTTAAAGAAATCAAGCCACATTCCACCAGCATATCAAGATTTTAAATTTAAGAACTATGGACCAGCACAGTAGTTCACGGCTGTAATCCCGTGCACTTTGGGAGGCCGAGGCAGGTGGATCAGCTGAGGTCAGGAGCTCGAGACCAGCCTGGCCAACATGGTGAAACCCAGTCTCTACTAAAAATACAAAAATTAGCTGGGCATGGTGGCGGGCCCCTGTAATCCGGCTACTTGGGAGGCTGAGGCTGGAGAATCACTTGAACCCAGGAGGTGGAGGCTGCAGTGAGCTGAGTTGGTGCCACTGTACTCCAGCCCTTGAGCTTGGGCCATAAGAGCAAAACTCCATCTCAAAAAAACAAAAAACAAAAACAAAAAAACCAAACTGTGACAGTTCAGAAGCATACGTTCAAAAGTTCAGCCGAATCTGGTTAACACAGTGCTCGCTTGGCCTGGGGCCTTGGGGAGGAACATCCATGGGGCGCCTGCTGTGTGCTGGGCAGGTTTGCACGGAGTCTCTCTCATTCAGTCCTTGGTTGGTGAGGGCCACGCCACAGGAGGACGGGCTCTGCGCAGCACAAAGCAAAAGAGAAATGCTTTGGACCGGTGTCCTTTCTCAGTTTCTCCCCGGAAGGCTGGCTGGAGCAGGCTGTTTCCAAGGCCCTGGAAATGCAGGTGTTTTCCCTTCAGTTGTCTCCAGAGCAGGAGCCTCCCATGCCTCAGGAAATAAGAAGGATCCAGATGCCAGGAGAAGTGTCCTCTGGACACTTGGCTGGGAGCCCAGGATCCTCAGTGCCCAGCCCAGGAAGGCCTCCTGATCCCTCTTAGGCCCAGTCAGGGGAAGAAAGGAACAAAGGAAAGGAGGGAAGAAGTGAGGGAGGGAGGGAAGTAGGGAGAGAGGGAAGTAGGAAGGGAGAGAGGGAAGAAGCCACATGGGATAGGATTTCCAGACCCAAGGCCGGCAATCCTCCTGGTTCCGAAAACCTGATAGGCAAGCTGGTTTGTAGTTTTCCATGGGTGACAGAAGCCACAGGAAGGTTGCAGAATCCCTCCTGCACCTGTAGGCTTCAGGAGGCTACACTCTCTCAATAAGAATGTGAAATGGTAGATTGAATAAGATCTAGTGTTTGATAACATAATTTATGTACATCCTAAAATAACTGGAATAGTATAATTGGATTGTTTGTAACACAAAGAAATGATGAATTCTTGAGGTGATGGCTACCCCATGTACCGTGATGCGATTATTATACATTGTATGTCTGTATCAGAATATTTCATGTACCCCATAAATATATACACCTGCAAAAATTTTTTTTAAATAATGTGAAAAGAAGGTGGAAGAGCCCTGGGCTTTCTGTAGGGGCTCACTTCAGAGCCCCCTGGCGTAGTCCAAAGCTGTAGAGAGGCCCTGGCAGCCCAGGGAAGGTTTCGTTTCCCAGTCTTTCCTACCCTTTCTCCTGGTCCCCTGGGCACCTCCACCTCGGCCCCTACCTCCCGAGTGAGGCTTGACTCACACACTCCTGAGTGGCAGCCTCTGGCCTCTCTCCATCTGCACCACCCCCTCCCAGGACACTGGGTGAAAAAGCCCTGGGAGGCAGGCTCTGGGTGCAGGTCAGAGGCTTCCCCACCTGTACTGGGGTCCAGCTGAGCCAGGACCACCAGCTCTGCAGACCTTGGGATGGGAAGGGAAGGCGTGGGAGATGACCCTGAGCCCGGGGCGCCCCTCGGAGTTCCATAGATTGTTTTGGCTCCTGGCAGGGTCAGAGCAGCTTGGTACCATCGTGTGTGCTCCTCCAGGGCTCTAGCCAGGGTGGGACTTGCCCTGAAGGCCAGGGACCCCCACAGGGAAAAGCTGCCACCTATGGGTGTCATGAGGAAATGAGTGATGGAGCACCCAGGAAGAACTCGGTCACCCAGAAAGGAGTGGGAAGTTGTCTGCCCGGCTGAACCACAAGCGTTACGCAGGTTACGCAGGGCCTCACCTGCTCTGCCCTGGCTGAAGAGGGACAGTTTTAAACTTCAGGCTGGCTTCTGCCTGCCTGACCCTACTGCTTGGGTGGACAGGAAATCCCATTTGGTTGTGACTGGTCAGGATGCCATGGAAACGTGACAGCACACTCTGCGAGAGCACACCCTGCGACGGCACACCCTGCTGCCACAGTCGCGGGGGTCTTTTCAGCACTCTAAATGCATGATGCCATTTATTCCTCATGGCGCTTCTTTGAGATGGATCCTGTGGTTTATACCCATTTTTTCAGAAGAGAAAGCTGAGGCTGTATATTACTCAGCTGTGGACTGACTGGGAGAGCTGGGAGTCCCAGCACTTGAATCTAGCGGCTGGAAGCCTGGACATGCAGGTACCCCATTCCACACCGCTGTAGTCAGAGCTCTTGTCACCTGGGGCTCCTGAGGCCAGACTTGAAACGGAGCAAGTGCAGGCCTGGGGCATGGTGCTAAGATGCAGACGTCTGGAGCTGTTGGCCATGCCCTGTTCGGCAGGTCCTCCCCGCGCAGTGCTGCTGGATGGTCTGGTGTGCCAGGGTCTGGATGGGGCCTCAGAGGACTACTTACCTCCCTTCCCAGAAGCGTATCCCTTCAAGGTAGGCCTGGAACTGAGGTTTTTCAGAAATAAGAAATTGGCTGTGAGTACCTGCAGCCCTTCCTGCTTTAGAAGAAACAGCATAATACCCTGTTTTACAATGACCTTTTGTTTTTTTAAGTAAACTTCACAGAGAAAGAAAAAGAGAAAAACCCAGAAGGGATCTCCTAGTAGTCTGGCAGGAAAGGGGCCTGTGACGATATTTTTGGTAGCTTTGAATCATTAGAGGCATCTGCTCAGGACATGGTGTGGGGCCCCAGGGGTGGCCCTCACAGAGTGCCTCACAGGAAGGAGGCCTGGAAGCTGGTTTTTCACAAGAAATGTCTTCATGCCCAATCTGCTTCTGCAAAGGCTGAGACTGCCACCCTGCTGGATGCAGACAGGATGCAATGTGGCCACACATATCTCAGTGGCAGCTCAATGACTTGGAGGAGATACTCTGCAAGGGCCTAAATTCTTAGCCCCTGGGAGACAGTGTGCCTTGCCCATCACCCTGTGCCCCAGAGCAGGGTCTGACTTATAGGAGGGGCTCGAAAATATTCGCCAAGCAATAAGAAGTATTAAGAAAATGTTTCCTGAATTGACAGGAAATGATGCAATAACATGGCCCCTGCACAGCCTTCTTCCCTGGATTCCCCCCTGAAGCACATTTTCGCAGGTGGCTGGGAACACAGGCACAGAGAAGCAGGCAGCCTTCCCAGGTGCCCCTGCCATATGGGTCTCCACAGCCAATCTGTTAGGATTGCTAGGCCATTTTTTAGAGGAGGTGATTTTGCCCTCTGCTGTGTCCATCCACTACTTAGAGCTTGACCACTGTCACTTACAAAATGCCAGCATAGTCATCTTCACTGATACTTTTCTGTCTTCCCTCTGGATGTGGATTTGTATGAGCTCGAAGAAAAAGTGGTAACAAGCGCCAGGCATGGTGGCCCACACCTCTAATCGCAGCACTTTGGGAGGCCGAGGCGGGTGGATCACAAGTCAAGAGATCGAGACCATCCTGGCTAACACGGTGAAACCCCATCTCTACTAAAAAACAAAAAAATAGCCGGGTATGGTGGCATGTGCCTGTAATCCCAGCTATTCGGGAGGCTGAGGCAGGAGAATCACTTGAACCTGGGAGGTGGAGGTTACGGTGAGCCAAGATCCCACCATCGCACTCCACCCTGGGCGACAGAGCAAGACTCTGGCTCAAAAAAAAAAAAAAAAAAAAAGGCAGCCAGGCGCCTGGAGTCTGCCCAAGCCCCGTGGCCCCAGCTTTACCGAGGTCGTTTATCAAGCAGTGCTGCTCATGGCCTCTATCCCTGGAAAACCCCAGCCACGCCGGTACTGTAGGGCTGTTTGCTGGGGCTCTCCCCAGGTCATCCCTCCTTTGCCCAGGGAACAGGTCTTTCCTGTTCTTCTTCTGCTTCTCCTTTTCTTCCTCATTCCAGTCCGCAGTGGAGGTTTAATCACCGCAGTACACTTGGTAAAATCTAAACCATTGCACTAACTCTGAGGTTTACAGTTCACCCCCCTGCAATGAGGCCAGATGCTGATGTCTGTGGGGAGGATGTCCCTAATCCAAACTATCTTCTTGTGGTAACTGCTCAAAAGGGATGTCAGCAGCTTCACCAAAGTCACACCACTCTACTCGCCATTTGGGACAGTGGAATTCCTTTGTCTAAATGCACATTTCCCTGCATTCTCCTGTATCTCTGGATGTGGGAGAGGCCTCTCGGTGACAAGGGGCTGCAGGAGGGCCTGGGGGAGCTGCTGAAAGCCCTTGAAAGGGGAGCCCCAGGCTGAGGTTGCTACTGAGAGTTAATTATTGTTAGACATTTGCATCTGCTATCCGCTGGTCTGGCTGTTACCACCAAGGATGACGTCAGCGAAGGCACAGATGACATAAGCCTAAGGTGCAGGGTCACGTTCTGAAAACCCATTTCACTCCTCAACACACCAGTAAGTTGTTCACTGACCAAAAGAGCAGCATAGGTGAAGGAGCCCGAAATACACTTGACGGTGATCATGTCACCTGCAGCCGCTGCGCACAGTGCTTTCCAAGCA